TATTTGTGAAATATTTAAACAATTTAGACTTACGGACGAAAATATACTGATTACTATTATAAGTTTCCATCTCTTCTACAATATCTAGTAAATTTTCTTAAACTGCAATCTCAAGATCAAGGTCTTGTACATCTCATATATTGTTTTAATGCACTTTAATTGCATTTAATTTGATTATATTATATTATAAATTTCCAAACAATATATTACATGATGGAATGGCATCATATCCTCTCCAGAATATGAATCGAGATATTTGTTATGTCATTTTATTATATGCAAATAAATGCACCATCATTCCTGCATCATACGTGACGAGGAAGTAGAAGATTTTGATGCACTTTTTGGAATAATCGGAATAAATAGGTTTACCGTGGCTCAGAGGTAAGTGCTCCAGCCCTGCAAACGACCTTGCATCCTGATGAACCGATTTTGGCTAACTTGGTATCAAGCAGTAGTAATCTGAAATATAAATCTAAATATGTTTGGAAGTCAAAAAATACCTTCTCCAGTAATAAGTGCATCCAATTAAATAGACTTCAGTGTTAAAAAAATATATAAAATTTAATTTGAGCAATGTCTATTTGGTGTGCACCATATTATTATATCACACTAAAAATATATAAAAGTAAAATACATGGTATAAACTAAATATGAATATTCTTTAGTGACTTTTTTCTCATTTTTGAATATTTTAAAAAATTTATTATCAATTCCAATGCATTAGCATTTAGAATTCTTGAATGAAGTGGTCTGAATGAGTTGCAATCTACATTACTACAAGGAATAAATCATTTATGTGAAAAATATGTAAAAAATCAAGATAAGATATTAAACAGATTCTGAATAAATATTAGTCACTTTTCTATTTTCGTATTAAATGTAATTGTAAAAGTAGCTGACTGTACTTATTGTATATAAATTTGATATAATAATTTAATTCAACTGATATAAAATTGAATAAATCTTAACTTTTGATAAATATACTTTGCTCTATGTGGTATTAATAATTGACATTAATTTCAAAATGATAAATAAATATATATATAGGTATTAAAATTTAGAAAAAGACACAACAAAAATGATTCTAAAATAAATTTAAAAAAATAATTATTTCAAAAACGTTACAAATAAGAATAAAGTGAGCATTTAAATTCTAGCTGAAATAATTCTGTATCAAAAATATATTAAATCAATAATTAATTATGAGCAAAATATGAAAAACAGAAGAAAATATGCAGCTAATGTTTTCCATACTAATGGGGAAAAATTACTGTATACTTTCTTTTGTGTTTTATATTTCAATCATAATTATTATCTTCTTTAAATATTAAATATGTAATCATAAATTATTATCTTCTACAAATAAGTACAGTTTTTTTTCATAAAAATCTGATCTGATATTATCTATATATATAAATATATAAATTAATCCTACTATATATATAATTTGTTTTATGAATTGATTAATTTCATTTACAACTGCCAACGAATTATATATTATGCAGGTTAAAGGATAAAACTAGTTTTTAAAAGAAAATAATCACAAAAAAGTAATTTTAAATTGCCTATATTAATATAACAATATAAGCATAAAAAAATTAGTAAGTAAATTAATTAAAATGACACTAATTAGAATATTTTAAACCGGTTTCAAAAAATACTCAAGAAAAAATCATTGGATTTGAAGGCTTTCGATAGAGTTTATATTTATTTTGACTTAAATTTGATTAATGAGTTTTAAATATTTATTTAGCATGTATTTGTGTTTTTTTTTTGAAAAAATCTAAATTGTAAACAAAAAAAATGTTGAAATTATGTATTTATTTCCAATGTTTCGGATTCCTTAAGCTATCTTTCAAAAATAAAATATACATATTAATAAACAATATACGAAAAAAGGGTTAATTTAAAATGAAACAATAGTCGGCGGTTCATACGTCAAATGTCGAATGGTTTTGATGGATTATGTTCAATTAAATTTAATAGGGTGAATAGATGAATATTATTTAATTGTAGCATGTAGTTTTATTTATAGTTAAACTAGCAAATTATAAACGTGAAAATATTTATATTGAATTTGCAATTAATTCAAGTTTGTGTTCTGGACAGAAAATCCGAATATAATGAAAAGTTAGAATTTTTTTTCAAAGTTTCAAAACTTGTTATTTTAAATTTTCAAAAAAAATGCTAGTTAAGAAAATTTTTAAAAAAATCGATATTTTGATAAGATTATAAAAATCTTTAAAGAATGTCAAAATTTTATATCCATTACATAACACCAAAGTCTTCTGTCCAATTATAAATTAATAATAACAATTTCATATATGTAATCAATATCACCTTTGTAGTATAAGATATTTATGATTCTGTTGTTTCAATTCTAAGAATTATTATTTGAAATGCCATGTTCGAAATCTGATTCGAGTACAGGAAAATCATTAATAAAAATGTTTTAATTATATGACACCGTCATGAAATCGCAATAATAGTGAAGACTACCATATCGAATTTAAGTCGATACTAGAAAATAATTAAAAATAATTTTGTATATAAATATATACAAGTCATATTGAATGACTTGTAAAGGATAACACATAATGCTAATTTAGGTTCCCATATTTTAAATTTTAAATTATAACACACTGATGATGAGACAAACCTAGTTTCGAAACGTTTAATAAATAAATAAGTGCAAAAAAGATTGTTGTTTGTTCATATTTCTAAATTAATATCTATCTATCCACTCAGAATACATTTGTCATAAATATATACGTTTAATTGCAGAACTCAAGTGTTTGTATATTTTATGTACTGAATTTGTTCTAACTCAAAATTTTGCTGAGAAACTTATCAAATTTAGTATTTGGTAGTATAGCAGATATATCATTTTATAATATTTGTAAATTATAAGATTGTAGTACAAACGGTGTGTCCTGTAGAGCTCCTCAAATGGATACAACTACTTTCATATATATACAACATCATGATGGTACATTGATAAAAAGCTTTATATAAGTCAAAATTTTCTTAAAAAACATGTTAATTTTATTATTTGTCACTTTAGTAGACATATTGATGAATATATAAAAAAAATACAGGAATGTAGTGCAAACTGTGCGTCCTGCAGAGCTCCTTAAACAGTGGCTACGTCTTGCATAAATATGTTTGTAAAAAATTAAAGTTAGGTACAGATATTGATAAAAACAATTTTAAGTCAAAATTTTCTTAGAAAATGTGTTAATTTTATTATTTCTCACTTCAGTTTATATATTGATGAATGTATTGTTAAATTTACAAAGATGTAGTACAAACGGTGCTTCCTGCAGAGCTCCTTGAAAAGGTTGCAATAACTTGCACATTTTCATTCAAAAAATCAAAGTCCATGGTTTTTCACTATCTATACATGAACATTATATAACAAAGATTGTAAAAATATTTAGTCATAATTTTTCTAGAAAGATTATTAATTAATTTTAGGAAAAGAAGAAAAAAAATTAATTTTGAAATTTTAACAAAATTATAATTAATAATAGTAAATAATTGTAGCAACTAAAAATGTGCATAAATAAGTATTATTAATGAAAATATAATTAGCAAAATTCTTAACAAAAAATCAATACATAAATTAAAGATCAATGATTGTAAGATTTATTGGCTGTCGATGAATTTGATATAAGATATTTATTATTCCAATTAGTGATGAGAAATAATACAAAATTGTAAGAAAATTTCATAATAGAAAATGTAAAAGTAATAATAAATATTACAAGAGAAATAAATTTAAAAATAAACGACAGAAACTGCTAATTAATGTAAAATTTATAACTAACTCATTTAATCACCTCAAAAAAATAATTTTTGACGTTTTAAAAGCAGTTACGTTCTATCAACATATTCTGTGACCAAAACTAAGTATGTTGTAGTCATACGAAATAAATTTAAAAATAAATAGCAAAAACTGCTAATTATTGTAAAAGTAATTACTAACTCAATGAATCAGCTCAAAATAATCATTTGCGACGTTTCGAAAGCAGTTACGTTCCATATTCATATTCTGTGACCAAAACTAAGTATGTTGTACTCATAAGAAATAAATTTAAAAATAAATAGCAAAAACTGCTAATTATTGTAAAATAAATTACTCACTCATTTAATCACCTCAAAATAATTATTTTTGGAGTTTCGAAAGCAGTTACGTTCTATAATCATATTCTGTGACCAAAACTAAGTATGTTGTAGTCATAAGAAATAAATTTAAAAATAAATAGCAAAAACTGCTAATTATTGTAAAATTAATTACTAACTCATTTAATCAGCTCAAAATAATTATTTTCGACGTTTCGAAAGCAGTTACGTTCCGTAATCATATTCTGTGACCAAAACTAAGTATGTTGTAGTCATAAGAAATAAATTTAAAAATAAATAGCAAAAACTGCTAATTATTGTAAAATTAATTACTCACTCATTTAATCACCTCAAAATAATTATTTCCGCAGTTAAGTTCCATAATCATATTCTGTGACCAAAACTAAGTATGTTGTTATCATAGTTTAATAAGAAAATGCAGGACAAAAATATACATTATTTTAAAAAAAAATACATTATTATTAAAACTAACTAATTTTGCAAAGTTACCAAACTAGATAATTTTGCAAGTTAATATTTTACCCAATAAAAATCTAAAACATATTTATGTAATTTATTACCTTTGTACCAGTTTTATAACTAATTTATTTAAACAAACAGCATTAAAAATAATCTCCTGTACACAATTATGTTTATTTAAATCAAATCAAACAATATTTTTTATTATTGTACTTGCACAAAACAACAATCAACGTCAATCTTTCAGTCAATTACTAAGTCAAGGTATAATTTTTAATAATCTGATAAATAATCGAATTAAAAAGAGTGTCCACCACTATAATTCTCAAGGTAGTGCTGAAAGTCTTATATAAAGTAGTGCAAGGAATTCTTATTTAACACTTCTAATTTAACTTTGGAAGGTGATTAATTAGATAAGTAGATAATTGATTGAAAATTGAAATAATTGTGTTATACAATTTTTTAAAAATGTATAAAGCTGTGGTTTTGTTGTTTGTTTTGGGAGCAGTAGCTTTTTGTTATGGGGTGAGTTGATAAAAATTAAATTTTTGTTAATTAATTAGTGAAAATATTTGTTCGCAGTTATAAACGTATTTTTTAAGGTTTGTAAGGTGCCTGATAAATATTTTAAATTTATATTTAATAATTACAAAATAATACACAAGGTTCATACAATGAATAAAAATGATGATGATTTTACCTATGCAAGATGTAGTCACTGTTTAAGGAGCTCTACAGGACGTACTATTTGTACTACATTTTTGTAATTTTTTCAATATATTTATCAATACTTCTTTTATAGTGACGAACAATAAAATTGATACATTTTCTAAGGAAATTTTGACCTAAAATTGTTTTCATCAATATCTGTACCTACTTTTAATTTTTTACAAATTTATATATGCAAGATGTAGTCACTTTTTAAGGAGCTCTACAGGACGCACCGGTTGTACTACATTAGTTTAAATTTTTCTATATATTTATCAATACATCTACTATAGTGGCAAATAATAAAATTGATACGTTTTCTAAGAAAATTTTGACTTATAAATTTTTTCCTCAATATCTGTACCTGCTTGTGAATTATTACAAACTTACTTATGCAAGGTGTAGTCACTGTTTAAGGAGCTCTACAGGACGCACCGTTTATACTACATTCTTGTAAATTTTTCTATATATTTATCAATATATCTACTATAGTGACAAATAATAAAATTGACACGTTTTCGAAGATAATTTTGACTTATAATATTTTTCATCGATATCTGTTCCTACTTTTAATTGACTGCTTAAGGAGCTCTCCAGGACGCATCTTTTGTACTATATTTTTTCAAAAATGCGTGAAAAAATTATATTTTTAATTTAAATTTTTTTGTGGAAGCCTAATGTAGATTAAAATAATAGAGGGCTGCTCATACGTCAAATGTTAAATGGTTTTAGTAAGTAGCAAGTAGTTTTATTTATACAGAAAAACCTTATTCAAAATATCAATTTTTTTGAAATGTTAATATAAAAATTTAATTTACCACATAAGCAGTTAGCCCTTAAATAATTTGCCTTTGGAACAATTTGCCCTTAGAGAATTTTCTGTTTCGATAATTGGATGCTTGGATAATAATTAAGCATATAGATAAAAATTATAAAATAAATGAAGAGCCACTTTTACTACTAATTGGCAACCAGTTAAATATCTGTTTAACTAATTTAGAATTCAAAAAAATTGATTATTTTACGAAAATTACACATTACTTCAAAATTTATGAAATTCAAATGAAATATGAATTCTTTGATATAAAAAAATCTAGGTAGTTCTTAAAAATATGTATAAAAAGTAACACAATTATAAAATGAATCAAAGGCTTCATTACTATTTCATAATATTTTTTTGTTAAAAAAAAAACAAAAAAAATAACTAAATCTTAAATAAATTTAAAAAATCTTCTATAAAGGCTACTAAATTAAAACATGATGATTTATCTTCTATTAGGCTACGATTTGATTGAATGACAATTAAAATAACAAAGTATATTTATTACTCGATATAAAAATAAGTATATTTTTCATTAACATGTTTATTAAAACCCTCAAATTCTAAAGTCCTAGTTTAATATGTATTATAAATATTAAAATGTACTGAATAAAAACACTATTTCATATAAAAACTAACTAACAAATACTGTTTTGTCATATAAATTATTTTTAAAAGTATGAAAATTAACTGATTGTGAATGTAGAAGTGGTATGGTATATAAGTTGATGGTTTACCCACTGCAACGCATGCCACATATGAATGTGGCTGGGACATAGTCGTTATTAGTTATAAATTTCAAATTTTAAGTTATATAATTATTATTATTATTTGTAATTTTAGGATGAATCAGCAAAAGAAGATGCAAAAGCAGCTGTACAAGAACTTGTAAAAAAATGCGCCAAAGAAACAGGAGCAACCGAAGGTAAACTATAGAACTATAAACTATAAAAAAATAATTCATTGTTTAAATTTTTGTTATAAACTATAATTGACGTTTTTTATTGCACGTCCATTGTTTGTTAGTAAAAGTTTATAAACAATTTCAATGCAAAGAAATTCAAAACACATACGAGGTGTGTTCAAAAAGTACCCGGAATTACTAATAATTAAATTTCGCGGGTCTGGAGTGTCTGATTGTCAAAAAATTTTTTTTATTGTGTTGGTATACATGCCCCTAAAGTATGATGAAATTTTCAGCTATATTCACTGTTTACTTTGTCTGTGGTAGTCGCTAAGGTTCGACGTGTTTTTCTGAGCTCGGCGATTTTTACAATGGAAGAATTGAAAAGTCAAAGAATTTGTATTAAATTTTGCGTAAAAAATGAAATAAAGTGTTGCAAAGTGCAAAAATTCACCAGATATGGCTCCGTGTGACTTTTTCCTATTCCCAAAGTTGAAGAGACCCATGAAAGGACGGCGGTTTTCCTCGATTGAAGAAATATCGCTGAGAGTGCTCAAGGACATATCAAAAAGTGAATATCAAGGGTGCTTCGAAAATTGGAAAAAACGCTGGCATAAGTGTATTATATCTGGGGGGGACTACTTTGAAGGGGACCACATTAATGTAGACGAATAAATAAATATTTTTTTGAAAAAACGAAAATTCCGGGTACTTTTTGAACAGACCTCGTATACTGTGATCAATATAACATCGATAATTGGATTATTTTAAATAATTGTTTCAAAATGATTTTAGATAAAATAGGTAGATAATAATATTTTCGAGTATATATTTTTAACTAGAAATAATATTAGATAATTTTGTTCTTCAGGTAGTATTTATGTGAAAAGTACACACAACAGAATTTATAATATAAAAAATATTAGATTTTGAGTGTTAGCTAATATCGACTATTAGCTAATAAGTTAATAAATTCGACAAAAATGAGAGAAAATATCTATATATATATATATATATATATATATATATATATATATATATATATGCGGTTAATAAGTATTCATACAAAATACTTAATTCAAGTAAAATTCTTTTTTCAACAAGAGTAAATTAAAAATTTAAAATTCACTTTATCAAATTAGTTTTTAAGTATTTTTTAAATCTATTAAAAATATGAACAGTTATTTTCAAATTAAAAATTTAATTATAATTAACCTAAGTAATTCTCTTGACTTTTAATAAAAATTTAAAATATGTGATAAATACAGCTATTAAAATAGATATTTGACATATGTATATTAAATTATGCATGTAATAAAATAATTAATTGCATTTTAATTTAATTTTAATAACTCATATAGATGTTAGCTCAAATTTGAGCTTAAATTCGAATCACAATTTTGGATGAACAAGAACAAATGAAAATCTTAGATATCACTTTATCAAATTAGATTTTAAGTTATTTTTTTCCGTTAAAAAGAAAAAATTATAATTTCATCTAAATATGAACGAGTTTTTATAAATTCAAGATTCAATTCTGGAAAAACCCTAAATAAATTTATAAAATTTTGTTATAAATTTAAAATTTGTGATAAAATCAGCTAATTATTTAAAATATTCGATATAGACATATCAAACTGTGAATTTAATAAAATATTTAATTAGTTTTTAATTTAATTTTAGAAATTCTTATACATAGTTTGTAAATTAATTTGGGTAAAATTCTCGATGAATAAAAGCAAATTAAAATCTTAAAAATCGCTATAAAAAATATTTAGGCATTTTTTCTTAAATTTGTTAGAAAATCAAAATACCTGGTGTTTTTTCTCCTAATTGAAACGCATTTCCACGCATTAAAATTATTTTAAATGATTCAAATGACTAGATTAATATTTATAACAACAAATACACTTTTTTACTAATTTTTTTTTTCTTATTTTTAGAGGAAATCAAAGAATTAAAAACTAAAGTACCTTTGGAATCCAAAGGAGCAAAATGTTTTGGAGCTTGCTTGTATAGGAACTTTGGAGTGGTAAGTATTTTTATAAAAAAAAATCTAAAAACAGTAAAAACTTTAATTTAATTTCTTACAAATTCTGAAATAGCTAATTTTAAATTAATTCACAATTTTTGTAATTTTTATTAACTTCCCGTAGGGTAAGTTATTGTAATGGGCCGAAAATCGGAATTGAAAATTTTTACATTTCTCGACGTTTTGAAGGTTTCTGAACGTTTTGGCATACCTCAGAAAAAATGGATGTGTGTGTGTGTGTGTGTTTGTGTGTGTATGTATGTATGGATACAAATTTTCGTCCACGTTTTCGGGCGTACGGATCAACCGATTTGAATGGTTTAAAAAACATTCGATTCCTATTAATAAGGAGAAGAGCTGATTAGTTTTTGGCAAAGACAGGTCCAGCAGTTACGGAGATAAGGAGCAAAGAGTGCAGAAAATAGAAATCGAGTTTTTGAGAGAACGGAGCATCCGATTTGAATGATCTAAAAAACATTCCATTAGTAATGATTGGGAGAAAGGGTTATTAGTTTTTCGCAAAGGCAGGCCCAGCCATTTCGGAGATACAGAGCTAAATGTACAAAAAATGGCAGTTTTTGAAAGAACTAAGCGTCCGATTCAATTGATTCAAAGAACTTTCTGCTTGTCTTAACAAAATAATTGATTTTGGAAAAAAAAATTTGTACCATTTTTTTTTTTTTTTTTTTTTTAATTTTTTGTATGTCGAAAATAATTCAGATTTTATTTTTAATTCTGACTATAGTTCTAATATACTTTAAACAAATAATTTCAACTCTGCAATTCAGTTTATATAATTCTTATAAATATTAGACAATAATACAATATTTATAATAATCTATTTGAAAACATTCAATATTCCTCGAACGTTTCGTTACGGTACGGGAAGTTCCAGCAATTTGCCTTAAGGCACGATGCCACCCACCCCACTAGTTTATTTAAACTGTTGAAACAAAACTTAAATTTGAATTTTGAACATTAATATGATAACATATTAAAACTTACATTTTTGAATCAAGTTACTCTATTTAATAGTTATAGCATCTATACATTTTTATTTCAAAAAAATATAATCGTAATAATTATTTAATAATAATTAAAATAAATATAAAAAAAAAATGTTACGATAAAGCCCCTTACTAGTATACTTCTATTTTCGGGCTTACTTAATAATAAATCAAGTGTTATGGATAATTTAGGTGAAAATTTTTATATTGGATCAATTTATACTAAATTATTTATTTTATTAGTTCAAAGATGGAAAATACAACCCTGAAGCTTTGGTGGCAGCCAGCAAAATGTTCTACGATGAAACTACTCCTCAACACGAAAAGGTAAAAAAATATTTTTGACACTAAAACCCACTTCAAACTATTAAATTACCATGTAAAATAATTTATGAATATCATAAAACTATTAAATCTTAGAACGTTTCATAAATCCATAGTTTTTATCAATCTTCTTCCATCAAATCAAACTTTTCGAACTCTTGAGTTTTGCTTCCAAAATCGCGCTTAAAATCAGTTTACAATCAATAAATCAAAATATATTTTATCAAATATTATCTTAAACATTCTAAACAATTTTTCTCAATAATAATTTATTTTTTAGATCAAGGAAATCGCTCAAGAATGTGCAAAAGAAGTCGTGGATGCTGATGAATGCGAATTGGCTGCCAAAGCAGTTGCTTGTGAAAGTCCCAAATTTAAAGAAAATAACATCGACATTCCACTTTAAAAAAATATTTTTGAATAGATTGTGATTGCAACAATATCAGTTGATGTAAAAGATCTATTAAATTTAGGTATAAAAATATAGAGAAAATTGTTCGTTTAATATTGCTCAATATTGATATAGAACAGTAACTTGAATTACATCTTTGTAGAGAAAATGTAGAAATATCACTTTGAAAATGTTTTCTAAATTGTTTGTGATATCAACATTTGTTGATTTGAAATATGTATTAAATCTAATAAAAATACTACAAAAATATAGAAAGAATTGTTTATTATCAACAATGGATCCATTACCATTGTCTGGGTTAATAATTAATTGACGAAATCATCAGTAGATTACCTACAACATTATTAAATTCCCAAATTTAAGGAAAATAACATCGACATTCCACTTTGAAAACTTATTTTTGATTATATTGTAATTTCAACAATATTAGTTTATGTAATAGATCTATTAAATTTAGTTATAAAAATATAGAGAAAATTGTTCTTGCAATATTTAGCTTAACACTGATAGAGAAAAGTAACTTGAATTACATCTTTGTAGACAAAATATGAAAAAATCGTTTCGAAATTTTGTTTTTTAAATACATTGTGATATCAACATTTGTTGATTTAAAATATGTATTAAATTCAATAAAAATGTTACAAAAAATTCAGAAAGAATTGTTTATTATTAACAATGGATCTATTTCAATTGTCTGAGCAATTAATTGACGAAATCATCAGTATAGTACCTACAACATTATTCGGCATTTTTACTAATATATTGTAATAAGAGATCTATTGTCAAAAAAATTACTATGATTTTCCAATTATTTCCTAATTGGCGTCCGCAATTGAAAAATCAAGGATATTCATAGAGTATAAATATAAATGTTGTTTTTGGTTAGGGAATTGTTTTATTCGATTTGTTTTGGTATAAACATTAAAAAAAATCAGAATTAAAATTGTGTAAAATTGTTTAAATATTTTAAAATCATGATGTCTAAAGGTTTGTTTATGATGGTGGTTTTGGTGTCTTTTGCTGGATGTATTGCTGTGAGTAAATTTTTGAGATTTTTATATAATAATTAATAATTAATTAATTTGAAAAAAATTATTAATAAAATATAATATACAATAATTTATATAAAGACTTAATACTAATATAATATGTTATATATAAAATTTATATAAAAGATCTAGACCTAGATACAAAATTGTTAGTCTAATGCTGGAAAGTTTTTTTTTAAATATATATATTTTTTTAATTAGAAAAATATGCATTTTATTAAAAAATAATTTAACCAAACTAAATATAAAATATATAGCATAATCATTATTAACATAAAAAATATTAACGATAAGATATCTTATTTTCGCATAGTATTTTTGCACGATATTTTAAATATTTACATTTTTACATCGAAAAAAGTAAAAAAAAAACTGATGTTCTGAATTTGTCTTTGTCTATACTAATAGAAAATTTATTTTGTTTTAATATAATATAGAGTATTTAAAATTGCAAAAATAATGCTTGGCATAGTTATCTATACTATCATTATTATTTTACTATCATGTTTTGTATAGTTTTCACAAAATTTTATTTTTTTAGAGAATTTGTTTAGGTTAATGACGTACGAACATTTTTAGAATCATATAGTTTAATATATAACTTTTAGGCGTAATTTTATCAGAGACATCGATTTATCAAAAAAAATATATTTATATGTTTATCCAGGGCAAAATGACTATAGAAGAAGCCAAAGTAACTTTTATGGAAATGGCAAAAAAATTGTGCAGCTGAAACCGGAGCAACTCCAGGTAATTTTATGAAGAAATTAAATTTATAAATTTCTACATTTAGAATAGTAAAAATATATAACTTAATTTTTTTTAATTGAACAACATTTATAATAAATAGTTTTTCTATTTTTATCATAATCGAATTATTTAATCCAGACTATGTGAGATTAACATTTAAAATGTATATATAATGTTTATATAAATATTTTTCACAAGTAAAATAATAAAGCAGTTTTCTACTAGAGGATACGTTTGTAATCTCTAAACTAAATGTATAATAATAAAACCATTTAAAAACGTATTTTTGACAAGATACTAATCTAACATTCTTCAAATTGTTTGTGAGCATTTTGAATATATATTTGAATTATTTAATAATGTTTCAAAACTGTTGCCATTGCGTTTATTTATTAAAAAATCCTTGAGCAAAATATCCTTTGAATATTTTTTTTTCAAAATACAATGAAATTAATAAAATCCTTTGAATAAAATGTATATGGCGTTTCAATGTGATAATGTATTCAGAAAACATAGTTTTAAATTGATTTGGAATTTTCTAAATTGTTTTATGATGCTGCAGCTGTTTTATTAAATTTTTGCTAGTTTCACCTATATATATTAAATCTCAATGGTGCAAAAAAACACTTTTATATATTATATTTTGTAATTTTGTATTATGAACATTTTTTATGTAACAAGTTCATACATTTATGAGCAATTTGTAATAATAATATGCAATATGCAGTATTTTGGTGTATCAATGTTTTGTCACTAATGGATTTATATAGTATTATTGCAACTAAGTATTTATTTGAATGATTATTATGGATCGTAATCTACCAATAAGATCATACCAGTAGTCTATCAATAAATTTATAACTATTTATGGCAGTTGTATTAAATTTGAAATAAGCTCTATAGATTCACTTGAATCTAAAGAGACACTTTTCGTTTAAAAACAGAAATTAAATACAATATCAAACACCGATATTTTTGTTTAATCTCTATATAATTTATACTATAATTCATTGAGAAATATATTCATGCTTTGCTAATACTTTTGTTAATTTTTGCAGAGGAAATCGCAGAATTGAAATCCCACGAAGTTCCAGAAATGCGAGGAACAAAATGTTTAGCAGCTTGCATATACAAAGGCGTAGGAATTGTGAGTGAATATAAAAATATATTCAAATAAAATTCATGCAAAAATATCAATTAATATATGAGTAAATAATAATGCAAAGTAATAAATTTGTTCTAATAGATTAAGGATGGCAAATACAGTGCTGAAGGTTTATTAAACGCAGGAAAAATGGTGTATGACGAAGGTTCTCCTCAATTTGAAAAGGTAAAATTTAGAATAAAATCTCTCCTAATAATGTATTATAGTCAATATATATTATATATATTTCACACTAAGAGCCTCTCAAAATAATATTTTTCATAAAAGTTGAATAGATATTTTAAATTTTTTTAAACAAAATATTGGGCAACGTTTTTCAGATCTCTATATTCATCAATGTCATTATACATTAACTACTCTTTTTTAATTATCTAAAAATCATACAATAAAACAGCGCCTTTCTATTTAAAGATAACAATATCTAATATGTGTATATTCTGAATATTAAAAAAGGGTTGACCACTGGGTTGCCCGTTACAGAAAAATACTATAGGTTTCAATTAGGGTTTATACAAAAACCGACATTTCAGAAAACCGGTTTTCGAATTTTAATTTCACTAAAAAACCGGTTTTAACCGGTTTTCGAATTTTATATAGAAAATAAAGTTTTGCTCGAACATTCTGTAATTTATCCGCAAATTTATAAATTAGACTATAGTGTAATTTAGAGCAGTATTTGACTGAATTTATTTATTGTTCAATTTTATAGATAGTAAACAAATTTATTTTAATTTTAATTAGTAGAACTAAAAAATAATAGTTTATCTTGATTAAATAACTTTGAAAATAATTATTCGTTATTCATGCATTATTTTCACATATAAGAATGAAATTATTTTTATGATAGTCAAAGGAAAGTTTTCGAATAAATAAAAATAATACATTTTTAAATAAAAAAAAATCATTAAATAAAAAAAAATTAGATACATGTTGATACTTGTTAATATCAATTTTAGTTTTAAAAACAATTAAGCTAAACTCGGGTATTGTCTGTTCCGAGGAATTATAATTAATTAATTCTAAACATTCTAATTGTTTTTCTGTTTAACAAAATATGATTTAAAAAAACTTAGAACGTCTATCGAAGTGCTACTTAGACTTGTCCTTTGTTTACTCACAAAATTTGCAGAAATAGAGAATACTTTCATACTTGCGACCAAATTATGCTTAATTGTTTTTAAAGCCTGATATAATAATTCTAAGTTTTTGTTCCTTAATTTGTGGCTTCTAGGGTTTAAAACTCTTTTTTTAAGTTTGAGTAGAGGAAGGAATATGATTTCAAGAATCAAAACTCTTTCATCTATCTTTTATATTTGGCTATATTTGTAATTTTCCATTTACAGTGAAAACCGACTTTTTTCACTAAAAAAACGGTTTTCGAATTCTATAATTTTCGCCAAAAAACCGGTTTTTAAAACCGGTTTTTGAAAACCGACAAACCCTAGTTTCAATATACTATAGAAAACACAGCCCGTAGAAATTGCAGTTGTGATTAGTATTAAAAGAAATATTTTCCATTTTTTTTCTAAATTTTCTAAATTTTTATTTCTATTTCAGGTGAAAGAAATATCAATGGCATGTGATGCAGAAGTTTCCGGATCCGACGAATGTGAAGTTGCAGCAAGTGCAATTGCATGCGAGTTGCCCAAAATAAAGGCGGCAGGATTTGAAATTCCGGTTTAATGAAAAAAAAATATAATTAAAAATGACCCGAATAAAAAAACGAGAATCCTTTATCCTTGCACCAGTTGTAATTTACAGATGTAAGAAAAAAATTATAAAATGTTGTAAATATATTAAATATATGTGTTTGTGCAATTATAATTTTAGATTTTTTAATTATTAAAATTAAATATATGGATTTTGCATAAATTTCTCAAAGACATCATTCATATCAATCGATTGGTTTAGAAGTTACAAGCGTTGCAACAAAAAAGTGCACTCGGTATACTCAATTCCAATGCAAGACATCATCGTGCGCAATATGTGTGAAATCTTAGAAAAAGTTGAAGTTTGTATGGAAACTAGTGTAGTTTTGTACTCTACAATATTTGTCTTGGCTACAAGTGCGATTTTAAAGTATACCGAGTTGTTGTACGGCTTTGTGGTGTTAGACAATATTGCAGATTAATTAATTTTGAA